CCCTTCCCGCGAGTGGCTTGGTCCGGCCCGGCACGGTGTCAGAAGAGTACCCCAACTAGGGAACTACTGAACTGCGGTGTAGAGCAAACTCCTCCTCTGCAATGTGCGATATGAAGCTGTTGAGTGATTTGTTTTTCTAAGGACCTTTTTTTGCCTCCCCACTCGGGATCATTGGCGGTATGTCCTGTCCGTACTTCCCCGCCCTGCGCCCTGCGTACGGAGGGTGCGTTGGTGTAAATCTTTTCCTCGCCGCCCGCCCCGTCCAGGACCCCGCTTTCGCCGCGAAGATTCGCATTCAGATACCGAACAGTGGCGGGCGTAGCCAGGGGGTGGCGGGCCGAGGAATAGGCGTCTCTTTATTTTGAAAAAGTACTTTTCCTGCCATTTTCTTCTCTGCATGGCGTCGCGGGGGAAAGCGGAGACCGAGGGGAAAATACCCCCTATCGGCGCAGTGGAATCGTGCACTACGTTATTCTCCCGGACTTAACGACACAGCGCCACGCTAGATAATTCCAAACCTCTCCACTCTTCTCCGTTCGACGTTAACGTGTACGGCTGCAAATTATTACATTTTTTATTTTTTTAAAATAGAACAGTTGTTAGGGATGTTCCTCTGGCCGCCGCGCGCGGAGTATGCCCGTGGAGCCGGAGTTGTAGTATACTTACTACTTCGCGCGACGGCCGTTCGCCGCCAGCGCTATCGGCGACTCAGCGACGCACTCACTCAGTCCGCTCACACTTCATCGCTAGGTCTTTGAAGCTGGAGGACGAGGACAGGCGCTGTTGTGGAGTAATTTTAGATTTGACTTTGAATCTTTGCATTTTCCTGAGATGGAGAGAGAGCAGGTAGGCCTGATAGTGAATGTCGTTGGAGGTTATGTTTTCGGCGGTGTGTTTTCATGTGTGTGGTTTCATCATCATTTTTGAAAGTCTCGTCGTCTTAGCCTTGCCTGTACCGCAGAAGTTGACTGTCATGTTGACTGACACAATGTTGTGTACCTCAGAATACACCCGTGCCTGATCGGAGAGTAAAATGTGTTAGGAAATACACAGGTCCTAGGTTATGTGGTTTCAATCCTGTCCATTTCACCTGCTCCAACCTAACCTCGAATACCAACTTATAACCTGTCGGACCAGCAGGTTCAAGTTCTAGAATCATTTTGCATGCGTCGCTTGAAAGTTCAAACAGTTGGTTCGTGTGACATTTTAGTGAAACCGTCTTCTGTGCCACCGTATTATGCTTTTACTGCATGTTGCAACACTGTTTTAAACTCCATAGCGTGACTTCGTCTTCTTCTCATTCATCTTGTTCTCCTGTGCAGGTGCAGTGGCACCTGCAGCTGCTGCCTCGTCTGCGGGCGGAGATGGAGCAGATGGGCCTGTTGTCGCCGCTGCTCTGGGTGCCGGTCGACACCGTGGCCGATGTCTGCTACGAAAAGATGTTCGACATGCTCTGCTTCGCCCCGACGGATTGGGACGCCCTCATCGGGTCCCTTGCCACCCTCACCCGGTAAGTGCGCGCGCGGGGGAGTTGGAGTGCGTCCCGAAGCCAAACGATTTCATTTTGTATCTTGCTCTGCCCCCCCCCCCGCAGCAACGTGTTCATGTCGAAGTTGACGTACGGCGAGGCGATCAAGTCTCTGCAGATATCCCGCGACTTATTGAGCGGGTCGACTGAGCCCCTCGTGCAGAAATACTGGACTCCCCTCAAGCACCTTGTGGACGTCACGTGGGTGCTTCTGAGCTGCCTGCACTTCGCCAGAAGCGTTGCGACCGTCCTCCCTGGGGTGCGCGGAGGGGTCGCCAGCACCATCAACATGACGCCGGAGGAGCAGAGCGCCCTGGCCGCCTCCAAGAGCGTCACCCTGCAGCTGTGCCACTATGGTGAGTCACACTAAGCACGTTAGGGTCCGTAAATTGTAGATGGAGGCAGAGGAAAGGTGAGTTTCGCATAGGTATGAAGTTAGAACTGCCTGCTGTAATTTTTCACATGTCCTAAATTGGCTGGTACAAAAGTTTTCTTTAAAACATATGATCTTGATTTTGGTTTTCAACTGACTTACGTGGTTCGCACTGTCGTACGGATTTTCATCATTTTTCTGAACTGAGTCTAGTCTCTCTGATCATCTTGAGTGAACCGCAAGTCTGGAGTTTGCCGCTCTAAAAGTGTAAATTTGAAAGCTCTGTTCGGTCCGCAGCGCAGTGGCCCAGCCTGCTGAACGAGCGGGGGCCCCTGTTCCTCGGGGCGCTGGAGGCGGCCGGGCTGGCCCTGAAGCTGCACCCGCTCGAGGGCGTGTGGGTCTCGCTGTACGCCCGCTGCCTGTCGTACCGCCACCCGGACAAGGCCGTGCTGATGCACGGGGCCGTGCGGCTGTCCCGAACGCCGTTCACCGTCGTGGAGCTGGCTAATGTGCTTGCGGTGTCGTCCAACTCCAAGGCGGTGGACCTCGCCGCCAAGCTCATAACGTGAGTACGCGCACTTGAACAACTGTTTTCTTTAGCTGTGGTCGAATGTGTGTGTTGAGTCTCCGATCGCTCATTTAAAATCGGGTCATCTTACAGGTGTGCGGTAGAAGAGTGGCCGACAAACATATACGTCAACTCGTCGTACGTCACGCTTCTGCTCAACTCCAACTGCAGGAGCCTCTTGTCGCTGGAGACTGCGCAGGAGTGCCTGCGGCGCGCGCGCGTGCTGGCGCCCAACAGCCCCCTCCTGTCGGGCCACTACTGGAGTCTGCACGACATCCAACGGACGGGGGGCTTTCTGTCGCCGATCCTGGAGGAGGGCGACGAGGACGTCTTCGCGCAGGGCTTCGTCGGTTGGGACGCGGAGAAGGAGGCCAGGCTGCGGAGCATCTCCGCCAAGCTGTACCCCGGTGCCACCCCGCTCGGGGCCACTGCGGCCTCGCAGCTGCTCGCCGCGCCCCGGGCGGCTCCCCCGCCCGCGGGCTGTCTCAAGGACGACGGCCCCGAGGACAAGGCCAACCGATCGAGGAACCTCTGGTCCCCGACAGAGCCTCGCAGAGCAGTGCGGAAGACGCCAGCTCCCTCACCGTCACCGTCATGTAAGGTGGCGGTTTATTTTCGACAAATTTACGATCGTCATCTGGGAAAGCAATCCACACCTGCCATGAGAGCGGGCGGTGATGTGCTTTCCCAGACTCTGGCCGCCACCCACTTTGCCCAATTCCTGGACGACGCTCCCATTGAACGTGTTCGAACACGAAAACCGCCAGCATCTGCACTCTGTGTTTTTTGGCAACGGCCGTGTCGACTGGGCTACGACGGAAGTAGGTCGTAAAGCCGATTGAGAAGTCACAGGCCAGGGTTGGCAGAAAAAATTAAATTGAATTAAATGATTTGCCCATGGCGGTGCACAATATTTTGCCCCGGATAAAAATTTTGCCCGGGACAAAAATATTATTAATTTTATTATAATTTTGCCCTCAAGGGCAAAACATATTAGAGTAATTTTGCCCCTTTTTGCTCCGATGCAATTTCAGAAACAGGTCATTTTCTTGCCTCCAGGGCATGGGGGCATGGTGCGTCTCCTTTGTACAGTGTTTGGACTCAGATCGGACGAGATAAGAGCCCTCAAGTTTGGATCCTAAAATGAACTATGTGAAATCTCTGTAATTGGGGTGCTGCCGAATTTGGCCCGATTTAATTTAATTTGGATAAAGACCGGGGTTTTAAAGGATTGTACCCCGCAATTAATTTTACCCAGTAAATAATGCCCCCTCACAATTCTGCGTATTTTAGTTTTGCCCACCAAAAGAATAAAATTATCGGTACATTAAAATTCAATTTAATTTTTTCTGCCAACCCTGTCACAGGCCGCCGCCCCGCCCCAAGCCAAACTGCATAGACAAAGGCACCCCGCCGGGCTGCCAGGGGGCGGGGCGCGCCACGCAGCGCTCCTCAGTGCGGGATTCGGTTGCTGGACCAGAGGGAAAGGTGACACCAGGCCGGCTCGGCCCACATTTGGTGATAGTTTTTATGTTTGCCAGATGTGGGTGCGTTGCGAGCCAACGGTCGCTCTCACGGCGGCTGCAGGGCCCTGTCACCGGGTGCCCCTGCAGGCCGCCAGGTCCAGCCTCAGCCACTAGTATTAAGACTAATATTAAGATCACTCTTCGGCCACATCAAGAGCTGTCTCTCGCGGTCCGAGGTGGCCTCGGGACCACCGCGGCCTAGTGCCGTGCGATGAGCTTGACCCAGGCATCGCGATCGCGACACCTGCACCGCCTGCACCCGCACTCGCTCAGCCTCGCCGCGGTCCAGCTTCTGCGAACCACGGCGCGCTTGATTGCCATGAGCTCCCGGTGCAGGGTTGACATCGCGATCCTGGTCCTCGGCTGCGCGCCTAGGGCCTCGGAGGCCTCCGCAATTGGCGCACCTCGGAGACGGCCTGCCAGGCGGCAAGACCGAGCTGGCAGGCAGGCGGACGGGGCTGCGCGCCTGGACTCGGGGGCAGCAGGGGCCCGCCCTCGTGTGACTTCGGGTGCCCCGTATGCAGATGGGTGGGGGTGGCGGGGGAGGCTTCCCCCTCACCCCTGGCCCTAGGCAGGGCACCTCGGGGGCGGTGCCACCCTGCTGCTAATGACTGCTGATTGGCTCTGGCGGACAGGGGTTTCGCCGGGCCGGCCGGGTCCAGGACGTCGGCGGCTGCGACCAGGGTGACGGAGCGCACGGTGACACGGAAGGAAATCAGACGAAGTTGAGAGGAGCTCCGTGTTAGACGTGTCGCCGTGTGACTGCCGCCGCCCGCGTGCGTGTCCGCCGTGACCAGTCCGCGTCGAGTCACTCGCTTCGTCCGCCCTGTCCGTGCGCGAGAGACGGATACCGCTGACATCATCACCATTGGATTACTGTGCCTCATTTCTACCATTTCTTCAGTGTGTGGTTGTGTGTTTGTGCCTCAAGACTCCATAGTTTCAGTGACCAAGTGATAAGTGCCAGGAGCAGAATTAAGTGAAGTGTTGTGTGTGTGTGTGTGCTTGACAGTCATCGTCGCCCACCCATCGTATCCTCGCTCTGTACTGTGTCCTTGTCCTCTGTGAATTGTGGTGCTCTGTGAATCTTAATCTTGAATTAGAGTGATCATTTAACCCTATTTTCGCTGTTCTCATCCCGCTTACTTCCCGCATCTCATCAATCGCATCACACCTTGCGCCAGCCATCGAACATTAACTCATATTTATTGGAAGGAGTAATCCACACCCTGACAGTCACCTTCACCGCCGTCGCTGCCGCCGACATCATCAGCGATGACCTCTCCGTTGAGCACCCCGTCGACCTCCCCGTCAACATCTCCACCTTCAGGGCGGCGCTTAAGAACTAAACTTGAAATTGGCCCCCTTCGCATGCCTTTCACTAAGACGTCTTCGGCAGCCGCACCT